AATATATTCTTTAAAAAACTATAACTCACAGTCACAGCCCACATTCGGGCCAGATTAAAATCTTTTCTTTTTTAAACACAAACGTCTGATTTCCTTGCGCCTACGCTCATCTACACAGAAAATTCAAACTACGAAGATTCGAATAGCTTTTTGTCAATTTTAAATAGTAGAAAAAAAAACACCGCTCGCGTAATTAACATAACACTGTTGGTTAGAATTGGTTTTTCCATTTCTGGGGACACTAATAGACGTATCTTTATGACATTATGTATTTTTTCGTGGTCAGACGTCTGTCGGCCATAATTTTATAGAGTTTATTGCAAGTTGTAAGCATAAAGTTGTTTTAATACCTTCCTTGTCTTTTCAAGCTAACTTTATTAATGCGTTTTATAAGAAAATCAAATAAAAATGTTAGATGAGGAATTGTAAAACCATTGAGTATTAGGTTTAGTAACGTACATTTAATGAATACAGAGAATTTACATAATTTTAGTTAAAGACGTTCAAACTTAGTGATAGCACACGATTAAATGTTAATTCAAATTATTTCTCAAAGTTTAGTTAGTGGATAAAATGTATGTTTCATAAATTAACTAAGCGATCTATATCTTGAGAGTTCAACCTATTGTTCTTTAAAAAAAATGTATCCTCAGCTCTAATTTAATTAAGGCTTAGTGATAATAGGTGGTTATTAATAATCGGAGGCCATTTTCTCATCTTAAATATACACGCATGGAATATTTTAACGTATCTAATATAGTGGTGTTTATCATATATAATAAGTTTATCGCATTAAGTTTAATTTAACATGAGCTTAATAGGCTTTTTAAAATAAGTTTTAAGTGTATAACTTTGTTTCTTAGCAAAACAAAAGTTATAGCTATTTTCTTATTATAAATACTAATTTTAAAAAAGAGGAAGGCTTTGATTATTTACTCGTTTAGATTGAATAGGATATGAAACTAAGTGGTCAGTCCGATTTAAAAATTTCTACAATGTCAACCACTCTAGCTCTCCACCACAAGAGGTTTAATAATACATGTAGCATGTAAATTTTGATTTTTGTGAGATTGGTTCCCGTTTTAGTACATGTAAATTTGTGTGCAGGTGACATGCAGATACTGACGGGGTGTGGAAGTTGCTAGGTATCATAGTTAAATACTTATAGCAATAGACTTCCGCAAGATAACGGCTGATTCTAATATATAGCCTTTTGTAAATGTTGTAGACTTTTTGTGTGAATATTGTAGAACATTTTTCTCCTTGGTCTTGTCTTAACTAAAAATTGATTTATTCGGAAAGGTTGTATAATGTTACCTATTTGAATGTAAATAATCTGTTTTAGGTTCAGACTCGCTTCCGTACTGTTTAGTATTAAAACTTAACTCTTTTCAATCAATCATTAAATATTATGTAAATAACCATTGTATTTTATCTCCTTATTAATATTCCTATTAGAAACAGCGTGGGTCACGAAGATGTCCAACAGACTTTGATTCGGGGACCGGTCCGAAGCCGCACCTATGCGACGACTCTATAACACTCCATATTTATATTAGTATAGACATTAAATAACATGTAAAGATTTCATATACTTTGACTACTTTACTCTCGTAGGGAATCGAAATATGATTGCTGAGTTAGGTTAGGTCATTTGACAGCTCATTTTTAGGTCATGTAAAAGGAAAAATAAATCTCTTGAGAAAAAAGCCTAAATATTATATGTTTCACGTTTGCGTTCACAATGCTATACAGATAAATAACTTTAATGAATAGTTTTTAAAATCCACCAGTCCCAAGTATTAAATATATTGAGCATAGACCATTTTCATTCTGATTTACGAGATCTCATAATTATTTGAGCTGAAAATATCATCGATTTTTCTTAAATAAGTTTGTTCCGAACTTAACTGGAGGCCTTTTTTATATTCGTAGTATTTAAATTCTTCTGGGGCAATTTAAAAAAGGGTTTTCTTTTTTTTAAGACAGACTAACGATTTTTTTTCGCATAGATAAATCTCTTGAATTAGGTATTAAGTAAATGTACCAGCATTCTTTAGTAATTTCAAGAAAGAAAATTAAAGGATTATTACTTTTATTTCACAAATTAGATTAAAATAAGATTTACGTGATTAAATTTTTTCACTGTTTATGTTTACTCATTACAGATAAACGGACAAGAAACATTTCATACTTTTAAAATATATTTCAAGATACGGATTCCTAAAAATAGAGAGTAGCTTTCGAATATTCATTTTTTTTTAATTATAATAAAATAGTATAATTGCGTCACAGATCCTTCAAAAGCTTGTTAGCTTTGAGCAATTGTAAAAGTAAAAGACAGTCTTTGACGGACACAAAGGCAAGAGAGAAAGGCAAAAATCTCATTTCATTATCCCACGGGTGTCCACTTTTTACGGTGTCGTTGCTCAAAAATCTTTGCCCGGCCGAGACGTTTCAATAGAGGCCAAAAAATAAACAATAGTCGTAAAGAGTCGCAAGGCCGGACGGACTCAAATGAAAGAACTTTGTTTAAAAAAAAATCGTTTGACACATTTTTAGAAACATCAGGCACGCAATGTTCGCCGGCGCGACGCTCGTAAATTTCACGTAGCGTCAGAATGAAAAAGGGAACATCATTGTTGAAAATTTTAAGCGCTCTCCGTGATTTTATGTTTGTAATCGCATCTCTTTTTTTATTTGTTTGTTTGTGCACGTACACTTATTTGTTATCTCAGCTGATATCGAATTAACAGCGTTGCACGACTTAGATTAATTTCATTGTTTCGGTAATGACATAAAATGTAATGCAACTACTACTGCCAGCTGCCGATCCGGGTTGCAGTTTGTGTGTACGTTATTCTGACCAGTCAAAAGATGGAATGTCATTGGTAAGCGATAAATAGTTTTGGACAATTAATGTTTCAATATATCTATTTTTTCAATTTGATTTTTAAAGTTCTAATTGTTTTGCTTTTGACTGTCGTTATTAATGGAAATTATTGGGTATATAATGTAATTGCTCGACATTTCTTAACCAGTATTGACTGTGTAATTGATTATCTGTGACTGTTATGACGTTTATTTTAGTTTATTATTTTCATGACATGCGCACTATTCCATATTTTGTTATCTTTTGTTATATTGACATCTTTTAAATGCAATTTAAAATTAACTAAGCTGACATTGTTTTTTTATCGCTGTGTTTAACTTTCTGGTGTGCTGGATGTATTAGTCTGTAAGTCAGCATGTAAATAAATAAATAAGTGTATTATGCTAGCCTCTTTCCCGCGACTTTGCCCGCGTATGATGTAGCTTTCAGTAGGTTAAAGAATTTTAAACATTAGTCCAGTATTTTTGGAGCCTATCAATTTTATATTAGTAGAGACAAAACTGTACCTACTCTGAAGTTATTATAGTAAGTAACGTAAACATATCTGTTGAATATTCCTAGATGGATTATATATATGTTATATACATATATAAATTTTTGGATGAGCAATATTTTAGTCTATTTCAGCATACGGACCCTACAAAAGACTTTAAAGGTATTTAAATGCAATGGAAACTTAAGCCCATTTAAAGACCGACAATCATATAAAATCCATCACTATTATGACACACTCAAATTGCTATCAGATTATATAAACGATATTGAAATCGCATATCAAGTTCCATTAAGAGCGACCCCACAAATATCTCTCAGTTACATTTCGGAATAATATCTTAGATAGATTCGCGCCCTCCACGAAAAAGCGCTACATTTTTACAGAGATTTCGCTGATTCCTTACAATCAGCCGACATAGCAAGCTCCCCTATATATTTCCTTTGTGGATAAAGGAGAGAGTGAGCTGCTTACTTTGAGCCACACGATAAGAATTTCATTTCCTCCCGACTGAGAGCCCGCTATCTGAGGAAGTGGAAGACAAAAATACTTAAGTGATAAAACCAGTGGATTCAGTTCAGATACCACTGAAACTGGCAATTCGAAGCATAATGGGAAGGTTCTTTTGCTATTGACGTAGAGTTGCTTTTTATATAATAATACGAGCTTAAAAACAAAATCTTGGGGCGACTATTTTATTTATTATTGTACACTTTAACAATATCATAATAATTTTTGAACGTGAATGTTGGATATATCTTTTGGGAGTTATCCAAATATCTTTTGTAGTTTTAATATCAAATAACGAGAAAAGTAATAAATAAAAGAAAATAAATAACCATTCTACGTGTTTGAAAAATGTGTATCTGAAAAAGATACGAAATAATTCATTGAATTTTTGTTTGAATACCTATTCGATTTCTGTTTTGTACTAAAAATTATGCAACTAAACGGAATTATTAATGTAATAATACTGTTACCATAAATAAATAAATATTAGAAACTCAAAACGTTTGAGTTTTTACGGAAAAAGTTAGACTCACATTCGGCAGAAGAGAGAATGAGAGAAAAAATATTGACTTCGAAGAATAACAAAACGATTCAGACACTGATTTTATGAATTCCCAAAGCTAGGTCAGAACTTTTGTCTCGGCCTCCGGTAAAAAAGGATCAAATCGACCTTTAGGGCATCACAAACCACTCTGAACTTTGACTTGTTCCATTTAGAGTTGGTTCTTGTGTAATATTTGTCTTACGCATGATTCGCTTTTGCATTGAAGTCTACCGATCCGGATGACATCCTTTATCGCGATACATTCCAAGTCGGTCTTTAAAGACGAGATGAAAACGCAAAAGTTAAATTTATTTCTCAAATGTATTTTACATGTACCCGAGTGCTTTAATCGCCGGTCAAATTATATCAATGCAACCTTCCCAGAGGTATATTTAGAAATATAATTTACGATAAAAAGTATGATAAACATTTATCAAACTTTTTATCTTCCTTTTACAAGGATCTCAAATAGTTATTCAGAAGTAATAGATCGAGCATTAATTCAATATAAAAGAAATTTTAAATAAAATTATCGTAATAGTGTTTATATGTATACTTACAATCAATAAAAATCCGTTTGCACTCTTCAATAAAACCACTCATATGAATATCTGAACACTAATACACTATAAACTATTTTCAATAACACTATAAATTCACTAAACTGAGCTATAAAATCTTCTTAGTTTCTTATTAGATCACATTCAATTAATTTTGAGTTAAATTATTATTTATGTTGTGTTCAATTAGTTAAAGGTTAATTTATTATGTGCGATAAAGTTTCAAACAAGAGAGCCACCTGACCGATACGTATGGTCTATACAAATCCTTATTTACAACTGACACTGTTGTTCATACTATAACAGAATCGTGCTTCGCTCACCTAGCGGAAAGGCATCTGCCCAACATTACATATCAAAAAACCTATTCAACAATAAACGCCGCATCAAAACCGATCCAGATTTTTTTAACACAACTTCACGACCCCAGTATAAAAGCTCGACTGTATAAAAAAAAGTCACGAGGTAGGGGAAAAATTTCGTAAGCCATTACCAGACTCTATACAAAAGTTTTGACACGAACACTTTGCGCTTGGGCACAGTCTATTTTAGTGGGATACGAGACGGCGATAGTAGACGGGCGGCTAATCGCGTACGTGCGACAGAGACGGTTAGACAAATGTGTGTCGCATTTGAATAAAGTTTAGGGGACCGACGAACACGGTTAGCCGCGGGACGCCGAGTAGGTGGTGGTGATAAAGCATTCGTAGCGAGCGCGCTCCCAAATCGAACACGATGAGTAATAATATTTAAAAAGCAAGATTTGTTACCTGTCCACCGGCCGGCAGATAATGCCCTGCGTTTTTTTGGAGAAAAATACAATTAACTAGCTCCAATCATAAATCATTTTGTTGTTCTACCCTGCTCGAACTCAGGTTGTACAATTATATCGCGCTGAAAAAAAAAGAAAGGTGACGGTAATAGAAAATTGTTGCGGCATTTTTTGGTGGTGCGATTGAATGGAGCAGATAATTACGGTATTAGCCACAGGTCGGTAAAAACGTGTTTTTGGAATAAAAATCACACAGTACATTTGAAGATCCTCTTTGAATCTATGTATTGTGTGATTGTTGGGTTATTATTTTTTGATATTAAAAGAACGAATTATAAATATTAGTCTTACATTTATGTACAGTTACTTAAAATCAATAATCAAACTTAAACTGATTGTTTTAAACAGCATTATAATGAAGTTTTCGCAAAGATTACAGGCATTAACCGTAAATCTAAACGGTTTAAGTTTGCAACGATGCAATAAGAGGTGAGCACTCAATCGGGGTAATTTTAAAATTGCGACCTGCCCCAAGCCAAGCCTCAATTACGTTGTGGGGCTGAGGCACCTCGTGCGGCGATCGCACCAATCGAAAATTGCCCGACAAGACCTCTCGGAAATTGTCGAACGAACGTTTTAAGAATTGCGGCCCCGACAAATCGGGACTCCGACAACGCAAATTACGGCCGGCTACAAATCGAGCCGACTCGAAAATTGCAGCAAGAGGTCCCTCAATCGGGAGGTCGTGAGGGCCCTAATGAAGACGTTAAGTTAAATCGTGCTGTTATAGAATGTTACTGTGTTTTATATTGATTTTTATGTGAATATAATTTTACGATATAAACATACGCTAGTGTAGGATTTATTTTACTTCATCACTGTTTACAAATAACAAAGCCGTTATTGAAGTGGGGCTATTGTAAATCATTCTACATAAAAAGCAATGTCACCATAATCAACACCAGCGATTTAATTTAAGCGACATAAACACGAAGCTATCTGGCACCGGCATCGATATTAAGGGTGTGTTAAATGACAAACTGCGGCACGGAGAGAAATGCTTTAAAACGGTGTAATTTTTACTCTTTATCTTGGGATCTGGATGGAGATTGCGCATTAAAAATACCGACCGACGAGTGTTTAAAATGCCTCGACTGTAAGCACGCGAATTAAGCGCATCTCCATATTAAAATAAGGGCGTTTGCACGATGACGATTAAGTAGGTATCTGTGTTATCTGTGTTGATAAAAAACTCGAGTATATGGATACGCTCAGTTTGTTTTCAAAATGATACTTCATCAGTATAAGTCATCCAATTTTGATGCAAATATAGTGGATCTGATAAGCAAATTGAATATTAAACGAGTTTAATGGTCAGATGCTATCATATTTAGATTGCAAAGTGAAAATTCAACAAGTTCGAAATAAATTAAACTCCACATGTTTATGAATATTCATAGAAAGTCAACAATCAACTAGAATTACTTACTTCACCGTTATATTAAACTTTAAATACCTTTCGGATTCCATCAATTTGTAATAATTTTGTTTTCATATGGATATATAAATTTTGCTTTGGAAAAGTATTTTAAACATTTCTTCAGCATTAGCTTAAAAATATACTGTCAATTAAGTATTCAATATATAAACGTTAAACAAAATTTCGGAGTGAACTTTCTTCCCATCGGAATATAAATATGAGCGACTCCATTATCCCAGTTCGTGTACTCGTATATAAATAAAGTATTAAAGCTGTATAATCGATTGAACACACCTCTTGATGAAGATATTACAACGAACCCGACCCAGGTTATTTCTGGACCGGTATGCATATCCTATAAGCTTAGATGCTATGAAACACACTGTATTTTATTGACTTTTAAACCACGGTGCTCTAGTCAATAATTTAGATAATCTTTAGATTCAAATAGTGAAGGCATCATTAAATTTTAATTCTTTAAAATAAACTATAGAAAAATATGCAATATTAATAATATTAGCAAGTTTGTAATAATTACTAAATGTACAAATAATATATGACAAAATAATGAAAATTTTACAACTTTAAAATTTTAAAATTTTACCTTTTAATAGATTTGACAAAAATTTACTGTCTTTAAATAGTGAATAATAATAGAAAATAATAGTAAAGACATATCAATACTTTAAAAAGAGCAATTAATTCCTTAACCTAATACACCGACGCTTAGCGTCCCTCTAAAGCAATCGTAATCTAAACGACCTTTTTTAAAACTAATAAAAGAGCTCGTTAAAAATAGCCACCGAAAAATCTTAAGTGTTCAACACGGATATTATCTTCAGTAAACAAGAGCATGGTTTCATGTTCTTCTAATGATAGAGATTCATCAAGTTCTGCAGTATAAATATATTCAACGAATTTTGTTTTTACTACGTCTTCGAGACTTTTACTAGTTTCCTGTGTTTCATCGTTTGTTGGAGGCTTTGTTATTATCATCCTTCGGTAGTCGTCAAATGTTTCGTCTTTTTTACGTTCTATAAAGGTTTTATAGTTTCTTTTACTGTCATGTGCTACTGCTGTGTTTTACGATGATTTCAGATGACCACCCACTTGTAATTTTTATTGTGTTGACTCTCCAAGTTGTGCGAATTACAGTTTTTATGCGATAATTTACTCTTTGTCGTGAAATTTATGTAGTATACGATAGAATCAACAACTCCGAAGATATTCCCATGAAAGCGTCATTATCACAGGAAATAAATCAAAAAAGGTCAACCTAGCTTTTCTTAAAAAGCCCTTCGATGTACCTTTTGAGATACAAGTCTGTATGAACGCGAACAAACCCTGCGGTGTTGCAATGGCTTTATAATTCTGCACTGATTACAAAGGGGAGCCGGCGGCCGCAATTTCGTCTTGTACCGATCGTGCTGTACATAAATTATCAGTTATTGATGAAGACATTAAGCTTGGTTATTGTAACAACAATTAAATACTTTTTGGTAGCGGCGAGACTTAAAAATCAACAAACATAAAAAACTGAAATAACCAGTTAAGGAATACCATGTCACGTCCGGTAACCAATCACGATACAAATATTAATTAACTCAAATTGTAACATTGCGTATTAAAATTAATAAGTACAGCTATTCATCATATGAGTGCAAGAAACCCGACGTTATATTAACTGACACGGAGAGACAAAAAACTTGATGTCTGTTTACAAAAGGTACTGTAACGTTACTTAAAAAGAATATCTTAATTGGGTATAATTTCAGAAGAAAGTTGCCATGATTGATCTTGTAAACAACTTCATTATGTCTCTTTTTAGAGGTAATATGGTATGCAATAAATCAGATTTTTTAAATATATTTAGATTATTAGTGGTCTTTTACGAGTAAAACCTTAAGAATTGCCTCCACTCACTTGAAGTAATTCTTTAACCAACACATGTTTTGCTGCTTCATTAATGGGGGATTGTTTTCGCGTCAACTTTTGCACTTCACTGAATTAAAAATGAAGGCTGCGGTATCGACAAAAACTAGGTGCCGTCAACTCGACCAGTTTCGCCGAAAACCAATGGTAATGTCAACGCCGGAACGAATAAGATCGATCGAGTTTCGATGCGGGCAATTAGCGAGCATTCGAATATTTCCACAAAGACATCTTTATTTCCAAGATTTTTATGACTTTTGACACGGAATACGGCAGCGCAACGACGCAATTAGCCTCTTATTCTCCACAAACTTTTATTCTTCATGTAATCGTACAATCGTATTGAAAGACAGTAAATGATTTACGATTCGCGCCTTCGCTTTAAATGAAACATAGCCGTAAGCTTTCAACCCGGCGTCTACGAATGAAAGTCACGATTGTAATTTTAAAACGTCGATACGGATGTTTGACGATTGTATTATTTGCAAGTGTTATTTATTGTGATTGTATAAGGGTATGTGCTGTATCAAGATGTGTTTCAAGAGAGCCTTGGTTACATGGGAAGTTAATACATCTGTCGGTTACTCTGAACTCAATGGTCCGCTCTCATTCATATGTTATAATGTGACAACTGAACCACTCTAACTAGAAAGCCGATATCCAGATTCTAGACACTTGTCTGTTGCTTGTTGTTTTAAATGCTAGTTGAGCGGCTTTTACGCATTATTATTGTCAATGACTTTATCATCAAACATTTGCCTTTAATAGTGTTTATAAATATGTGTTTTAAGTTGAAAAAAAGAAAAGTTCAGTTCTATGAAATATTGAGGATGAAATTTTTGTTAACTTTTAAATTAACAAGCAATTCTCGGAAACTATAATATGTGTTAAAAAAAATGAATTTATGCTTACATCTTGATTTTATTCACGTGGAAAACTGGCAATATTATTAGAATGTGATAACATAACAAAAGGCACAATATAATTTATATTCTTAACTTTCTTTCTGTACAATTGTACAGCCAAGTATACTGATTCCTAGGTTAGGCTGATAATTTGACAAAACATGTGGAAAAATGTTTTTCGTATTCAATCAT